TGTTCCTGTTTTTGTTTCTACCCTAAGGAGGTATAACAAATACTATTCCAAGAATTCAACACAGCTGAGATTTCAGAAAAGCATTAAACAAGAATACACACAAATCACACACGGCCAAAACAAAATAATAAAAGTCTTTAGTGGAAAACAATTTTATCCTCCTTCTGCTTATGGATCTTAAAAATACACAAAGTGATCATTTGAAAATTGAAAATTCAGTTGTGATAAGGCTTGATAACACAGCCATTTCCCAAGTCGTATTGCAATAAATTGTGAAATACTTCTATGCAACTTCATATCTTCAACTGTACATGTAGGACAATACTTGAAATCAACTAGCACTTCAATCCCTGTGTTTTTAATATACAAACTCAACACAGTACTGAATTATACATTTAAAATATATACACACTTGACCAACAGCAGTACTAGCATTTATTGCCTTAAAACTGCATGTTCACTGCATGGAGGTTCCTCATTTTGCACAAAGGGGACAAATAAAGGATGGCAATAATTTTTTCTTAATTATAAACTCTAGAATGGTTCAATGGGAGATTGAAATGTGCTGGGGAAAGCTATTAGAAAGGATTTCATCAATTTCAAGTATCAAGCTGTAACAGATTGGAAAAATCACATGGGTAGTATCTTTCCCTTGAGGTTGGAAGGGTCTTCCAAATGCATTTAAGAATGGCTTAAAAGGATAGGAAAAGCAGGATAGGGAAAGGGAAGAAATGAAAAAGCAGAATCTATTTTAATTCACTGAGGAGAAGGGAAAGCCACGGGTATCTTATTTCTCAGTTGCTAGGGCCCCAAGAAATCTCATACTGAAGAAAGGGTTTTGTAAGACAGCTGAGAGCTTAAGCTTCATGATCAGTGCTAGAAAGCATTAATCTAATTCATTGCAAAAAAGGGCACAATCTACTCATATTAAAAGCAAATTTACAGAGGGCAGGGCTGGCTCTTCAAATTTTAATTGTTACCATTAGACTTTGGTTATACTGAGTGACTGAAACAGATATGGGAGAAATGAGTGGTATCTGTTCCTTGCAGAAAAGTGTAAAAAACCAAAACCAAACCAAAACAAAAAACCCTACCACCACAAGCAGCACTTGTCACAAGTAGAGACACCAAAGCCTGAATAACAACTGTCCTCTCCCTATCTAGGCCAGAAGTGAGGCACACTGGTGGGGAATCTCACCTCCTTTAAGCAGAAGCCACCATTTCTGTTGGCTGTAATTGAAAAGTACAATTAACAGCAAGTATTACTGTACTACAGTAGATCAGTCCTCGGGAATACTGCACCACTGCTGCCTCTACTGAGTTTTATAGTTAGGAAAATCTTCTGTTTTCCTTACAGTAAATCTTACACCTCACAAAACTAAAATTAAAGTATATAATATTTACATAGCATCTCAGATCCTCAGGGCATTTTTATAGGCATAAGCTGAGCCTCACAACATCCCTGTGAGGTAGGTAGGTGTTAATGCCATTTTAACAACGACACAGTTCTAGCAACTTGCCAATGCCCACAGAGGATCCAGTGGAAAAACTGATACAAAATTAGAGGAGCTTGGCTCCTACTCCTGCGCTTATAGTCATCAAGCTACTTCCATAGAAAACACCCCTTCTTATGTAATTACTTAACCAAAACTAAAATTACTTGAAGTGTTTTACAGGAGAAATGCTGAAATTCATATTTTTAATAGTTTTACAGATCACAAATTAGAATCTGCTTTTTCCCTTTAAAAGAATTGTTTTAAATGGATAACTGACTGCTCTGAGCAAGCTTATTGTCTAGAACTACATGGCTTAGATATAAAGGGATTTGCCCAGGTAAACGCTGGGGCTTCAGTGAGTGCTACATGCTATCAGAGAGATGACTCTGATTAAAATCCCTCTTTTTCAACTAGTAGGATTTGGACATGCTGAGAAAACGAGTTTCTCATTCCTGAGAAAAATGGTGAGCCCTTTGCTACTGAACAGTGAAACACAAACCTCTGGGCAAAAAGTAGCAGATTCTCGTGGTGATTCAGTGAAGCTAATTAAGGCATAAATGCACGTGAAAGTGGAAGTTTCATGTAGTAGCAGTCCACTTCTCCCTGTCCATATCTATCTGTGCTTTCAAGAGGGTCTTGAATTTTATGATTGAACTACATGGTTGTGCTGGTCAGCATTGAAAATTATGGGTTGAACAACAGAAATTAGAAACAATTAGAAATCACCCCTCAGCATTAGAACTAACACTACTACCATGGGGAAGGAGCTGGCAAAATGGGAAAGAAGCTACTAGATTTCTAGTCTTGGAATGAAAACACTGGAGCACTAATCTGTTTTAGCAAGAAAGGTCTAGACAAATGTATTTGTTACAATTACATCATGCAGCACTTATAATTCAGTTTGAGTTGCCTTTTTCCCCTCTACAAAAGCAGGTGCATTTTTAGAATAATTATTCACTTTGCACAGTGAATGGAAAAATCGATGCAGTGATGCTATAAAACTTTCAGAAAACTTATGTGGAGCCAGCTCTCAGTGTTCATGAGAAATGGTCTATGAGTCTTTCCTGTGAGCTTTCACATACAGATTTACAGCAGCTTGGATGCGTAGAAGATCACTGAAGGATTTTTTTTTTTTTTTTTTTTTTTTTTGCTGGGGATATAGAAGCCAAATAGTTTGGGCAGAAGTAGCCACCAAGCCAGCAGGAGTATGAATTCATAAAACTTATTCCCAGAAGCTTTTGTAATGATTTCTAGGATGTCACTTAGCAGAGACATCTTAGCGTTTGTTCTAAAACAGACAAAAAATGGCATGGAAAGATTCCTGTTGAATATATGAGAATGGAAGAAAAATTAAGAGACAGGAAAGTATAACATCAAGCAGGAAAACTACAAAAACCCCTTACTGTGACAGTTTCCCTTTAACACATAATATTAATTTTAAATGAAGAGCAAAGGAAAGTTTTAAGCAACCTTCAAAATTAGCCTTTGAAATGAAGTGTTCATACTTTAACAAACCCTGATACTCAAAAGATGCTGAGTGTCTCTGCTTGTTACAACACAATGGGCCCGATAAGAAAAATAATGGGTATGCACATTACTTTGTCCTGAACACAAACTCAACTTGTGCTCCCATCCATCAACCACAATATGCAAGAGGATTTCAAAAATTTAAAGTTAATAAATATTTTTAAATAGTGAGCCAGCTTTACGGGATTAAAAAAAGATAATGACTAAGCTAGTTATAAAAGAAATGACGACTGAGTGTATTAGTTATTCAATCAGATCCAAAAAAGTGGAAGGTATTTGCTATGATCTCTTTGAAGACTTTGGTCTAGAGAGTTGACATCAAGCACACCATAACAAACCAGCAGCTCCTACTGCTGCTTATATTTCCAGGCTTTGATTCCCTTCATCTGAAAAAAATTGAGGTTTCAGAACTGCTGCCCCATCCAGTGTCCAAACTCAGAGAAACTCCAGGAGCAGTTTCAAAAACATAGCAAAACCCAGACAGTTTTTAAAATAAGATCAGCCATCAAACAATTTAAAACAAAGGACATGCCAGGGTCATTATCTTTTATGCAAGTGCCCAGAGTCAGGAAATCCTTTAAAGAAAAGCATTAGAGTTTCAAGAAAAAAATTGAGAGCAATACCCCTGTTCAAAAATACTATGCAAATTACCTTAGAAATAAAACACTAGCTGGGAAGGTACATTATTATCTACCAAGTTTTATGGTCACTTTGTATTGTGTAAATCTGCCTTCGCCCAGTTTTCACATCAGTGAAAAGAGAACAGTATAATAAAAGAGATGGCATTTTTTTGCCTTGTGGATCCATGCTTGAGACAGGTATGGATTTAACTAAAATCCCACCAAAAAAAAAAAAAAAACCAAACAAAAAAACCAAACCCAAACCAAAAACCTTAGATCACTTATAGCACAGGATTACAGATTTGTGTCTTTAAACATTTCTGGCTATTGTGACTAATTTTGAGATGAATAGCTGAAGAATGGCACAGAATTGCAAACACAAAGCTATACATAGCCATGTAAAGGTGTATACCATACATTTTATATAAATTTTAAAAACACATGGGAAATATTCAACAGCATAATCTAGCAGAGACCTTAAACAGAAGGGCCCACTTCAGCCTCCATGTATTTCCACAAAAACAATTTTACTAGACATGCAGCATGTGTGTTTGCTTCAGTTTTCTCTGGCTCATGGCAAGGAGGCAAAGCAGGCCTTGCTTTCGTATTCGTGTGCTGCTCGCCCTTGTTGGTCCCCTATACTCAGGGCACTATATTCTGCTATCATAGTAGCTAAAGTGCTGATATAAAAAACCAAGCAAGAGCAGAGCAGCTGGGAGGGCTCTGCAGAAGTGGAGCTAGATTCAGCAAACCCCAAAATCTCCCACAGCACTAGACATCCCAATTGCCTTTCTCTGCTCAAGTCAAACGTAACCCTCGAGGAAAAGGGTTTGACGACTCTGTGCTAGCATAATTGTTTTAGCTAATGCCCCAACTCTGCAAAGTTTGCCAATACTTTACACCTTTTGGGTTGTTATTGCTTAAGCAAACAGTTCAGTGTAGAAATACATTGCAGTTGCGTGCAACCCAGGTAAGAATCAAAACAGATACTGAAAGTAAAACTACACATGAACCTTGCATTAGACACTCATTCCAAAATGACACGTCAACATGAAGGGCTGCAACAGGTACACAGCAGCTCAGTGCCAACATCCAAAACCAACTCTGAAGAGTCAAATCTTGCCTTAAATTTCTTATCTAAAGTATATGAGCTTTTTTTTTCTTCTTTTAAATTAAGGCAATGAAATGGCTACAGCTCCTAAAGTTCATTTTAGGGAACAAAAATATACACCTTTTTTTTCCTGAACTTTAGGCAGCAGAACATAATGTAAAAACCTACATTGCATGAAACATGCAATGTCAGACTGATGTAGAAAAACAGAATTAAACACAAGTTAAAATACCATTTGGTTTTTCTTCCCCATTGGAACACAAACTCAAACTTTAAGAGAGGAAAAATAAAGCTTAAAATCAGCTAAACTGTTTAGAGCTTTATATGTATCTGCATCACACTCTAACATGATTTTGGGTAGAAAAGAAATCTGTATGTTTATATGACCACTCGCATTTGAAATCAGTGCAGGGGGAAAGGCACTGCATTTATTTTTCATTGTGCCCATATCTGTTTGCACATATATGGAAAAAATTAAATTCAAACTTTCTCTTCATTCTCTCCCACACACAAGTATGACAGATTGCAGCTAACACATAATAGCAGAAGCTGATTCAAAGTTGACCTCTCCTATTCCATTGTGTTATGTTCAAACTTCCAGGCTCTCTAGAATCTGAGATGGCTGCAAAGAACCCAGAGACAGGTACAAGATTTAGTCAGCATTCAGCATTTCTCAGTGCATTTTGCAGAAAGGGTCTAAATTAGGCATAGAGTTTTGTTGTTTATTTTACACAGAGAAGTCCACCAACATTTGCCATAAATTCTTCTAAACTCTTTAAGAAGGCCATCTTCTGCTTACGGTCCAGTGTAGGAGGAGTGCTGCTTGCAGTAAGCTTGTTGAAGGCATCTGCTAACCGCTGGTAAATTACTGGATCTTGTTGAGTTGATAGCAATGTTTCAACTAGCTCTGAGTATTCAGCCTGTAAAATAAAGAAGAATCAGATTAACGTAAAAAAAATAATATGGTATATACAACTTCTCTCATCAGCACAAGATCCAGAATCAAGGCTGTGCCACAAAACTCTCCACCTCTCCACCTGTCATCCAGTTTTCTCTGATCATAGTACGAGCAGCAACTATGGACCCCGTGGCCTTTCACTTAACCCCGGAACCAGATAAAGTCCTTCATCCATCCTGGGTATTTTAGTAAGGCTAAAGAAGCTTTCAAAGCTACATACAGTGCTTTGCAGTGCAGAGTAAGATGACAATTTTAAGGCACACCCTTCAAAAGTCCTTCTAAGTCTTAGTCTTATATAGCACGGGCTTTTTCCTGCAACCTGGACTGCTCTTTCTTCATGCCTGCCTGTGTTTGGTGTGCCATACCTACCATCTTTTCCCACAGAATCTCCCTTTTCTAGGGTCCCTTCCCTGGAACAGATTGTTTAGATTCCTTTCTACTTACTCTCATGCTTACTTGGACAGAAACAGAAGACAAAGAAACATGTTAAACATGAATAGAATGGTCACTGCCAAGGGGCACACACATGGAGCAAGTGCAAAGTGACTACCGAGCTCTGGGAACGAGTGTGAAGGACACAGGAGCTAGAATGGCAGTCCCCTCAATTCTGCTGGTGAAGGGTTGGGTGGGAGTAGACACAGCATGAATTTGCCACCTGTGGGTGGGGTGTCACAGGGTCTTCTTGTCTTACATGATCATGAGTCCCTCTTTGAGGGATGAGAGCTGCTGGCAAGAGAGAGGATCCACAGGACAAAGTGGCTTGCTGACCTGGCAGGAAGGGCATGTTGAAGGATGGTGGTAACAGCTTGTAGGTAAGTGAGGAGACAGACACCAGGAGTATTAGGAATGCTAGAAATTTTGATGGGCTTAATAGTGCTCATCAGGAAGGATCAAACAGGTTTTAAGGAGGCCAACCTCAAATGTCTGTGTAGAATTGCATTCACCTTTGGAAACAGAAGGAGCTAGAGCTCCATGTCAGGTGCAGAGCTGCAACATCACTGCAGGCACTGAGATGCGGTGGGACAGATGGCATGACTGGAGTTCCAAGGGACAGACAAAAGCTCTTTTGGGAAGAAGATAGAAGAGTGCTATTTCTGTGAAAGGGCAGTTCAAATGAAGGATGCTTTTCTACAGACTGGGCAATGGGCTAGTTGAGTGCTCATGGGTCATGATCAGAGGAGAGGTGATAAAGATGACATCATGGTGGGCTCTTGTTACAGATCACCAAAACAGGGCAAGTAGTGGACTTAGTCATCTTCAAGCAACTTGAGGAAGTTTCCAGATCAGACTTACAAGAGATTATCTCATTGACATTTGTTCAAATACCCGATGGGCTACCCAGGGGTGTGACTTTGCATCTGCTACTCACAGCTAGGAAGAGCTGGTCAAGGATGTGGTTAATTACTTGGCTATAGTGATCATGAAATAGTGGCGCACAGGATCCTCAGGAGAGCAAGAAAAGAGGGCAGCCACTTATTCAAGAGACTGGTGGGTGGGATCCTGTGGGAGAGAGCTCTGATGACAAAAGCAGCTCAGGAGAGCTGACAGGTCTGTAAGGACAACCTCTTCCAAGTGTAAGAATGGCCTGTCCAAATACTAAGGAAAATAATATAAGTGTCTTATGGACATGGACCCAGCTAAGCAGGGAGTTCATGAACTCCTGTGCAAGGACAACACATCCAGCAAACAGAAGCCAGGACAGCTACAAAGAGGGAAAGCAGAAACACTTTCTGGACAAGAACAATGACAGAAAAGTGAAGTTCAGCTAAAGCTGAATGTAGCAAGGGACATCAAAGACAATAAAAGCATCTTTTACCAGTACATAACAGTAAAAGAAGGAACGGGGAAAATGTGGGTTCTGCTGCTGAATGGAACAGATGATTTAGTGACAGTAGACAAAAGGTAAGGCTGAAATAATCAATGCTTTCTTTGCCTTGGCCTGACAGGCTTTCTCAGACCTTTGTGACTAGAGACAGGGTTCATGGAGGAGAGGAACTATCCATAGGAAAGGGGATCAACCCAGGGATGTCTCGAGAAATCTTCATGCATATAAACTCATGAAACTTGAGAGAACCTATCCAAGGGTTCAGAAAGCTGCCTCGTGTCATTACAAGGCTGTTCTCTATCATCTTTGAACGACTAAGAAAATCATTAAAAGTACTCTTGGAAGCTATCTTGGGCATGTGAAAGAGAAAGGGATTGAGAACAGCCAGTGTGGATTTACCAAGGGTAAATCATGCTTTAGCAACCTGTCTTCTGTGAGGAAATGACTTCATCTGTGGATAAGCAGAGAGCAGGAGATGCCTGACATTAGCAAGTCTTTAGCAATCATGCACAGCATCCTTATAACCAAGCTGGGATTTTATTGTCTAAATGGGTGGACAACTACATGGGTGATAACACACCTGTATCATCAGCCAATAAGGGACTGAAATAATGGATCATATTCCACCTGGAAGCTGGTTAAAAGTGGCACTGAGAGCTCTTATCTAGACCATGTCCTGTTAAATATTTTAGTCAGTGGTTTGAAGGAGGAGAGGAAATGCACTCTCCTCAAATCTGTAAATGAAACCAAACTGAAGAGTGCAACCAGTGCAGGACTAACATTTACAGACACCTACTCAGGCTGGAGGAATGAACTGACAGGAAACTCATAAAACTCAACAAGGACAAATGCAAAGTTCTGCAGCTGAAACAGACTAACCCCCTGCAATTACACAGACTGAGAAATGACACACTGGGGAGCAGTTCTGCTGAAAGAAGGTCCTGAAGGTCCTGGTGGACAGCGGGCTAAGCAAGTCAGCAGTGTGTCCTGTCAGCAATGAGCACTAGCAGCATACTGGGCTATATTTATTGTTTGTCCTTATACAGCACTTGTTACATCCAATGCAGAATGCTGTGTCTAGTTTTGGACTCCTTAACACAGGAAGGATATTGAACTTGAATGAGTCCAGTGGTGGGCCACCAAGACTGTTTGGCAGCTGCTGAAAGCACAGGGATTATAAGCATAATAAAGCATTCAAGACGCCACTTGAAAAGGCTTTGAAATATCTTGGAGGTTTTCAAGACACAGTTAGAAAAAATCCTGAGCAACTTGATCCAAATTCAATGTTGACCCCACTTTGATCAAGAAGTTAGACCACAGACCTCCTGAGGATCCTCCCTTCCAACCCAAACAATTCTATGACTTCCCAGGTGCCCAGTAACTAACCACTCTCTACAAATAGCTTATTTTTTAGGGTGTATCTAAATGCCATACCTGATGCAAACACACTAATGTGTAGAATGCTTCACCTGCTGCAGTTGTCATTTCTGTATTGTGCTTCTGAAGTACCAGCATATCAAAAACCATCTGAAATAGCAAAAGAGAAGTAGTTACAGAAGCGTAAACTTAACTTTCTACTTTATAGTCAGAAATGAAGTTGAGTTTCAGCTGCAAATGTTGATAAAAATGAACATGTATTTACAAACATCCAAGGTTGTTTGTTTAGTTTGGGGTTTTGTTTGTTTGCTTTGTTTTTTAAATTTAGGTACCAGCAACTGGGAAGCCAAGTTCTTTTAGAAATCGACTCTTGGCTTAACAGCACAAATTCTCATCTCAAAGCACTGAAACCCACTGTTGAGTTACATCAGCTGTTCTTAGGGAAAAATGATGTATATTGTATTTTTCTCCAAAAGCTGCAGATATGCCAGAGAAATAATGAAAAAAAACCTTTGCTCTTCCAGAATAAAACATGGAACTTTTTCCTCAAGTTCTGGAGACTTCAACAGCGCACAGAAAGCCAAACAGGGAACAAATTAGTATGAGCAGTATTATAATTTTAAAGCAGAAATTCACAGAGAAAAGGCAGAAAGCTAAGTTAACTTAGAAGATATGTACAGACAAAATCATTTAGGAGATTCCCATTCTCTCAGTTGGCCTGATGCATGTTTTTAATGGGCAATCCCCAGAAGTTCCAGTGTCAGTTTGGTAGGAAAAGATGTTGTAAGGAAAACTTATGTCTATACAAAATCAGAAGACAAGCACATAAATTCCACAATTACTTTGTTCCCAGTTAGCAGGAACCTGGTTGCTACCAGGTCACTCCAAAATTCAATGGGGTAAGAGTGAATGGTCCTAAAAGGGAAGTACTAAACATGATACCGAATTAAGAAAAGGCATCATTCATTTGGTACATTGAATAAATGACAGCATTTTCTTTCTGGTTCCCAACTCCAGCCTTTTTTGTGCTTTGATTTTAGCACTCCACCCAGCCTCCAAGTTCACACAATTCTGGAAGCTTTCTCTCCACAGCTTTCACAGTAGACATAACTGCTAAACTGTCAGTCAGTTACAGAGCTCATATGAAGAGCATGAGTAAATATAGATTGTATTCTGAGAGGCTCAGATCTTTTGTTTATTGGCAATAAGGGATTGCCCTCTATGCCTACATCCTCCTTTGTACTCTAGTCCAGTGTCTTCAGTCCTTCATGCCCTCCTTCTTTAAGCTGTCACTTGTTTTTAGGAAACAGGCTGTTCCTTACTGTATATGTGATCCTGAGTAATTAAAATATGATTGCTGTTTGGCCTCTTATTGCTACCTTTATGCAAAAAAACAAACTAACATGAAACACAGATGCCTTACCTTAAGAAAGTGCCTTGTTGCTAGAAAAAGGGTTGAATCTGTTTCTTGTGCTTTTGCACACTGTTCTGCTAACGGTGTTACAGCCTCCAGACAGAGCTGGCAAACCTCTGAGCTCATTCTGATAATGGGCATTAAAGAATCAAAGTCAGATTTCAGTTAAATTGTGGTAAAACCACCCAGTTGTGACACTAGAAAATATCTGAAATGCTTGTAAGCTCCAAGGTTTTGTTTCACTATAAAGTTGTTAATAAAAAAAAAAAGGATTAAAAACAAACCAAATAGAATAAAGGGGAAAAAAGAATTCCAACTTTGTTGCCTTCTTTTATTAGCTGCATGCCCTAAGGTAACATAACCCTCTCTGACATAACATTTTCAGAAAGAGTCCCTTATGGTCAAGCTCATCTGTTTCTGACACGTGCCACAGATTAGTGAAAATGGTACTCCCATTATGAGAGGGAGAGCCCATTGGCACCCTGACAGGAAATGCTCTGGAGCCAGCCCAGTAGAACAGCAGCAATGTTTTGTATTACCAGCTGAGCAACTAATTCAGGAATGGCTTTGGGATACCAGCTGAAGGCTTATGAAGTTACACACTCTGAAATGAAGTAATGGAGGAGGCAGGAATGGCTGCCAGAAAAAACTTACACGCTAAACTACTTAAAGGCTGCACCCAAGCACTGGTCAGTGGCAATTCAGCTGATACTAGAATCTCAGTCGATACTACAGTGAAACCCTCAATCACCAGAGAGAAGAGAGTAAGAGTCAATTACCAGTATATAATTATAGCTACAGATATTGATAGAAAAGGAAAAAATTGCAAAGATAAAAAAAATGAGATTTAAAAAAAGGTCCTCATAAAAGCAACTTAGATTTTTTTAAACACTCCCAAGCTCTATAAAGGATACGATGACATCCCTAACTCCAGTGAGTACATTAGGCTCTTAAAGAGGTCCTCTGGAAGTTGTGGAATTTTCTCAGGGAATATCTCACAGATGAAAGTGATTAATTTGTAATACTGATTACACAGGGATGGAAACTGTCAAAAGAAAAACATGGTATTTTTAGATTCAATCACATAACTATTCTGGCATAATTTTCAACTGTACAAGAGAGTCAGGACTGATGCTTTCACTGAATGGCTACAAGTTTATTAGCAAACACTGTGGTATAGTAAATGGTGGGAGTCTGGTACCTGTTCTATACAAATTCAAGGAGTTTTACTTGAGACATGAACACAGCTAGTTCTGGTGGGCTAGAAGCCTCATAAGCATTTGGAACACAATAGGGAGGCTCCCAGGGATGACACCCATTCACCTCTGGAATGGGTGTCATCTAAAATGGACATTGGTCTCACACTCAACAAGTGCTGCCAGATGAGAAAGCATGTTAAGAGGGGACAACTGAGATGCACTTTAGAAGTGTTCCCCTGATTCCAAGTGAAACATTGACAGCAGTGCAACCCAATGAAGCACTGCCATTCCGGTGTTTCATATGTTCCACTGAAAAGCTGCTGACGTATGACACAAAAGCCTGTATATCTGTATTGTGAAAATCAATAGTTACTTGTAATTAATATCACTCTTTAGACTTCCTATCGTATTTCTCACACTTTCAGAAAAAGGATTCCTTGAGCCACATTTCATGTTTGGCTGTTGATCTGCACAGATTTGCTTTTGAAAGAAAAAAAAGTTTTGTTTAGGACCTTCAAATATACACTTTCTCAGCTTACAATATTTCTTTCCAAACAGTATCTAGAACTATGGAATATTTATTGACATTTTTCAATGTCTAGAAATCTTATCTTACTGAGGTGGAATGCATACAGGAATGAATCCTGGGAATTCATATAAATATTTCACATTCTAGTGGCTATGTGTAAAAACATACTTACCTTCAGCAGATCCTGGGACATTAGAGGCAGAACTAGATTAACCCCATATAGGACAACATCTGCTGCTGATACAGATCTATTAGTAGCTTGCCCAGGCTCATGTCCTCTAAATACTTCATCTATAGAAAAGACAAAGTGTTTTGTACAAAAGGAGGATTAAACATATTGAAGGAAAAGTCCCATTTCTTTATGATAAAGACATTTTTTAAAATAGAACTATTCCTCTCTCCCCAAACAAAAACATGAGGCACTGTACTAAAATAGAAACTTAGTGAGTGGAGGCTGTCACATCACTCTATATTTATATTCATGAGGTCTAAGCATTTCATAATCACTTGTACCAGATGGCTTGCTAAACCAGAACACTTCAGATACTCTGAGGGCTCCCTTCCATTACAGAGCATTGCATTTGTTTCTAGTGATAGCTGCTTCATGCCTGCACACATAAACAGATAGTGAGCAAAATATTACTGCATTTTTATACTTATATATATATGTTTACTTATGTTTTCATATCTTTTATAAAGGAGAAAAAAATGGGAGAGTTAATATAGAAAATTCTGTAGTTTGGACACTGCCAAATTTTCTCCACTTACAGGTAAGACCTACATTTCCCATCGGCTGGCAGTGATCCTACTTTTCTAATTCCTGTATTGAGTCAGCAACAGTATGCAGACAACTTGCAATATATTTGATCTCTGGGCATTATGTTTAGGGAATATTCACATTACTTAGTTTCATGGTGAGTATTTTACAGTGTTTTCCACACAACTAACATCCAGATCTCAAACACGTTACATAGCATTGGGTTGTCCATTCAACGGATAAAGGCTAAAACCAGTTCTGTAGTTATGCTGTGCATGCATTATGAAAAATCAGTGATACGCTGAATTTTGGAGTACAAGGTTCTCACTTTCAAGATGTCAGAAAAGCAATGAACAAAATCACAATATGCTTGGTATCAAACTGAATCTGCCTAGGTTGTCTTCGTGCAAACTGTGTAGGACATGGTGAGATCTGAACCACGCAAATATGTTTTGGCTAATCCAAAAGCAATGCACCACAGCTACCTGGCAGCACATATTCAGGATGACTGCAATTTTAAGTGGCAAACATAGGTAAGAAAATAACAGATACAAAAAAAGATACCAAAATATAGGGATAAGGGATACAAAAAAGAACCTTTAACTACACCCACAAACCATAAAGCATGTTCTGTGAAAGAGGAATATAGAAGACCCTCAAACATGATGGAATTTCAATGAGCTCAACAGTTCACAGAAGTTGAATCCTGTACTAAGAAGACAATCCATCTGCCTTCTTGCACTAATTGACTACTCCTACTTCTCTATGGGCTTTTTATTATAAAACTGCTGCTACAACACATTCAGACTTGCAACATGCAGATTTAAAGATGTTTTATACATGCCCTGTTTATTTTATGAGAGCAATAATACTTTCAGGTGCAAGAATACTGTGAGAAGTCCTTCCTTTGCTACTGGCACATTAAATCATCATTTCTATATCCTGATCTAGTCAAGCCCGAACTCCAGCTTTCACTTTACGTGGACTGAACACACGTCCCACGATGGTTCTTACAGTTTAGAACACAAGTTGTGGTTCAGCAATTAGAATTCCTTAATACCTGTATCACTGAAATCTATGAATTCTTTTGATAGAAGATTAGTGAGAAGCTCCATAATAAGAAGGAGATCCTGGTACTGGTCTTCTTCTGCTGTAACATCTATCCGTTGCCGACCTAGATTATTCTTGGAATACACCTGGAGCAGAGTTAGGCAGGCCTCATACAAGTTCATGGCTTTGGCCTGTAAAACAATATTACATAGTTAAGAAAACTTCCATATGCTAAAAGTGGCAGACTTTGTTTTCAGATGGCATTACATGGTAGACAATACTTCAAGATTTTAATTTCAGTATATGACTACTTTCTGTAACAACTGAACACAAAATCATCAAGGAAACAGCCACCTTAAACAATAAGAACACTTACAGCCATATATTGATGCTACTGATTGAAACAGCAGAGCATTAGTCGATTCCTTAGTCTTAACAAAAACCATACAAGAGTGGTTTAGGACAACCTGACACATCCCAAGCTAGATTACCAACAAAATCCCTTGGGGATGCCCTTCAGCTGTGCATAACCCATTTGGAATAGGCAGGAGCTCTTCTAGATGAAAGAGCAAAATTAGCCAAGAGTGCAGAGATGTTAGTGCACTGCACCGACTCAAAATTTTAACCATTAACTTCCTGGTATCTATTAATGCCCTGTTTAGGACAAAGGCAGTGTCTCTATGGTATGTACATGTCACACAGAACAGTGCTGCAATTCTCCTAGGCTAGACTTCAGAGAATTCTGATATGGTTAAAAAAAGTACTCAACATGGTTTGTACTCTTCTGCCCCCCATGCACACAGACTAGTGATGAATTGTGGTTAAACATATTGGTATAAGAACAGTTGAAATGTTCTGCTTTCAATCTTTGCAAACAGATGGTTTTAAACAAAGGAATTCCTTAACAGATGTGACCATATAGCCTTTCTTTCTTTCTCTATATACAAATCATCATACTTTGCTTAAAGAATAGCATTGTGCACATACATACACACATGCACAATGCACACACACACACACACTCTTCCCCCTCCTCCCCCTTCTGGTTGTATTTACCTCTCCAAGATAGCAAATTTGTTTATGTGCAACTTCAACAAAGACTTCTATTATGAGATTAACAGTCTCTGGTGTGTTTTTGTATACTTCCATTAATCCGATGCAATTATTAAGGAAGTCCATTAGAAAATTAAAGAGAATTGCTACGTTATCAATCTGGGTAGCCTCAGCAATGCCACAGAGTGCTTCTAGTGTAGCAGTGATTTCCTGTTTCACCTCCTCCTCCTGACAGATCTGCTGAAAGTTTTCTTGGTTTATGACATTCAAGAATCGCTGCTGAAGTGGCTGAAGAACCTTGAAATTTTTTAGAAAAGTCCCATTAATATAAGCATACTATTACATGAGATGTGAGGTTTGAGTAATTTAGCAATTGCTAAATTTGCTAAATTACTTCTAGCAAAGTTGCTTTTGGCATGGCAGTACAAGAATCAATCACTTCCAGCTTCCAATGGCGCAGTTTTGTTATTATCTGTCACACTGATGTAACCTGAAGTGGTAGTGATTAGTCATTCTCAATATCCATCACCACCTGCAGGCAGGTTTCAAAATGAGCACCTCCATAAATATTTGAGGTTATTTTGCAATGTTTAAACAAAGCACAATGACTTTCACAGTACTTGATTCTCCACCAAATTCAGTATTAGGGGGAAAAAAATTTGTTACAGTTCACGAATGAAAGCATTAAGATTAATATTCACAGTTAGCTTTGCCATATCATGATTCTCAATAGCACAACTGCTTTTGTCATCAACTGTGTTTGGAAACAATTTACAAACTTCCATAAAAATAGTTAAATTTTTTTCCAGTTACTTCTAGTGCATTACAGTCTTACCTTAAATCACTAATTTTGCAGCCTGCTAGTAAAAGCAAGTTTTTTTCAGAAGGTCAATGCTCTACAAACTCACGTGGTGCTTCCTGATTGTTTCTTGCACCAACCTTTCTGGTACTAAATACCTGAGCTTTAAAGGAGCCAGGGCACAAAGAGATGGTCAAGGCTCTTCATTACATTCCATGTTAGCTTTTACTTACTGTCATTACCATTAAGTAACTGAATAATTCCTAACAACACCAAATTAAAAGAAAAAGAAGAAATGGCACAGTTCAAGTGAAATTATTAATCTTTCATAATGGTCTCTTTCAAGCATATTGATATACCAGCTACTTCACAAATCCTCCAGTTTATTGTTAGTGGTTTCTGTTCAGGTTGTGATGTTTCAGATACAATTTCAATATAACAGATACAACTATTAACCTTGAAAGAGAGGATAGTAAAAAAAATATATCAATATTTGATACTAAAAATAAAAATACGCTATATGAGTTGATTTTGTGTCACCATAAAATCATCTAAACTAAGTTCTTGTACTGCTTGATAAAATGAAGGCAATAGAAGCACCAAAAGAGCTTACCTCTGTCCAGTATTGTTGCTTTGTTTCTGTATCCATATGAGCAAAACCTCCTAAAACTAAAGCTTTCATTAGTGTTCTCTGCACAGAACTGGACAAATAGTGAAGAGGAGGGCTTCGCCTTGCAAACTGTTTAGCTAAATTCCACCAGTTTTCACACTGAATTACTAAGTTTGCCCTAAAAGAGGGGAAAAAACAGTTTAATTAAAGACTTCACAAGAGTATATGAACAGAGTACATCAGGTTGCTAGCAGCTGTCAGAAATTTGTTGTTGTTCTTTTTAAAAATTCCTTTATTCTAAGGCTAAATTGCCATTTGATTTTCATCTTACTAATGCCTAAGCTCTAAGATTTCTCAAATATATACTCTGAAAACAGATCAATTCATATGGGAGAAAAGCAGGGAAGTGCTTTAGTTTTATGCACATACACACACAGAGTTAATGGACATATTGCATGGATTAAAAGCTTAGTCTCATTATGTCATGATAAAATAAGCAGTTTATTCCAAAACTAGCTCCTGTCAGGTTTAATCTTCTTAAAAAGAAAATTCCTCAAGCATTTCAAATCCTCAAACTTCAGAACAGTCTTGCAGCAGACTGTGAATGTATGATTGCATGAATAATTGCATGTCAATTCACAGAATTAAAGCATTCCAGAATTTCCTGCTTCACAGTTTGCAATACCAAAGAAAACTTTTTAAAATTTGTCTGGATCCACAAAATCCTGGATTTTAACAAACCAATTTGTACGTTTACAGAACACATTTTATACTGGCTTAGCCATTATCTGAACTCTTAATCAACAAAAATAAACAACAACACAAAAATCCCTGCAATAAGAGTGGAGACCAGGAGAATTTTCCTTTCTCACTGTTTAAGAGTGAGGCACAAAGGGAAGGGAAGGAGAGTGCACTTCTAAACAGTAATAAAACTTAGGTGATGTTTTGTCCAATACAGGTCTCACTCCTCACTTTGTTAGACAAGTTTGTTGGGTTTTTTTTGAAGTTATAAAGTAATTTGACTTACAGAGACATGAATATGAAGTGCCCTATATCTGGATTACTTTGGCCAAAAAACTTTAAAGGAAGCAAAAGAAATTTTTTGACTTCCAGAGGTATAGCAACTTACCGCTCTCTCCTTTCCACTAATGTTACTAGCAGTTGTACAGTATCATTTGCAAGGTCCTGCTCTGAACTCCACACTGCCAGGTTACTGATCACTTTTTCTAAAAGGTAACCCACAATCCACTGGGAACCCTCTGTATCAGCACCAAATGCTGTACTAAATGGCAGACTTATCTATAAGAAAAGCATTAAAATGAGTGAGTTTTACAGAAGCCAGAACCCCAAAGTGTATGGTAATCATTGTCAGCAAATTCTTTTCAGGCTGTCACTTCTTCCCTACTTAAAATACACAAATGTTACACAGACAAAGGCAAAGAATACCTGTAATAGAAAAATCTTTGCCAAATTTATCTTGCAATTTTAAGCACAACACCTAAAACAAAGAAAGGTTTCAACCTCATTATGAAATCAGGTTTGAGTACGTCTAGCTTTTAAGGCCAGTGAAAGTTCAAAAGCTTTAAAAATCAAAAGAAAGATCACAAAATCACCTCCCAAAAGCATTTCTATGAATTTAAGACAAAAATTCCTCGAAATGCAGTGATAAAAATTATTAGAAATTAACCTAGCTGTCGATCTAGATTGAATATTGTAAAAATTTACTTTCATCTCAATTTTTCTTCAGATGCTTCCTTTAATCTACACATCTTTCAGGAAAGAGGTCATGTTCTGGTCCTGGCACATTACAATATGCTTCCTTGAAATTGCCTGTTCTCCTATCTTTAAATAAAGTTTCTCAAAGACATAACAATAATTTTGCAGGGGCTTCCTGTCAGCACACCTCTGGCATTTCTAACTTCAAAGCTCACAATATATACATGACTGAGCATAAAGTTTAAATAGAGGTTTCAATCGCTTTCACATGTCAACACAAATTAAATGTGTGCATTTCCTACATACTCTGTTTTCATTCTTCACATCGTTTTTCACACTGATCTTCTAATATGCTCTCCAATTCTTCCCCAACTGGTACCTTTACAAATTCTTAGCTGTGCTGTGGGTACAAGCTGAATAATACAATTCCAAATATTTACAATCTGTGGTATACATATTTTTGTTAAGGAGGGGCCTCCTGAAGTGTTAGTATTCTTAGTTGCTTCAACAGTGGAAATAAAGGGGAGGAGAAAGAGGCTTTCTTCTCCCAAGTTAGAGCCAATGGGACCTCCCCAGGATGAGTGGCCTCTGTGAGCTAGCTGGATTACAGTTAGTTTGATAAGCAAAATCAGGATCCAGTTCTAATCTTGATTAGTGCTGTTCAAACATGAGAAGTTGCCCTTTACAAAGAATGCACCACTGAAATCATTATATGTACAGTGAGAACGGGGAGAGGAGAGAAAATAGCATGACATAGCTAATGTATACTACCTCGTGATGGTGTTAAATACCTAACTCAGAATCATGACCATGTTACTCACTAAATCATCCATCAAGGGCAACCACTGTATTAGAGATGAAATGTCAGATTTGATGGACAGTCAGAAGTAGCTTATAAAATCACTACAGTCAGTGAGTTTCACCCACTATGCAGCCCAAGAGCACTATGTTATTCTGCTATGGTGATGGCTACCAAATTTAAAAAAAAAAAGTAAAAAAAAAAAAAAAAGTCACATTTGCAGCAAAATGTGCAAGAAGAGTTCCCTAACAACTTATATTTCTAACTAACAAGCGGAAGAAGACATCAACTTTCAAAGAAATTCCAAAATAAACCCAAAATATATCTAACATTAAAAATGCTTTAGCATTGCACTTTTAAATAGCTACACTGATATCTGCATTCACAGGATAATATTATTGCTAATACTCACCAATTAATTCATAAAAGTTATGTGCTTACCTGATCATACAACTTTTCATCTACTAGGAGGTAAGTCTTTGCCCAGCGCTTGAGGAACCATACAATATCTTTGCCCATCTGGGGGCTCAGGAGGTGTGTGAGATTTGCCCTTATTGCTCTAGATTCTACTTCTGACACTCTTAAAATAGCAGATAACAACCTGCAGATTTAAAATACAATGAGGATGCTGAGAGTGGTTTTTGGAGACGCAATGCAACTACCGAACACGTTCACTTTTCATGAAATATGTCAGAAAGGTCAGAATAACACAAAATAGTTCAACTCTAATCAAGTAAAAGCCACATGAATTTATTGTTTCTTCAAACACAAGGAGACACAGAAACTTTGAAGAAAAACTGCTTCTCCCTTCCTTGCACAATCAAGTTTAGTGACACTGCATCAAGAAATCCTGTTCCGTGTCCACTTCTTGAAGTGGCCAAAAATATCACTGAGCAGCATTCAAGCTTCTAAACATTAGCCACATACATCATTGCTAATGAAGATCCTTTTTTTCCCCCCTATCTTCCTCCCAGAAGCAAACCTTAAGTACACAACAACTACTTTTGGGTGAAGAATCTTCCATGCCAATTAAAAGTGGAATGCAATCTTCTGAAGCATGAGGATTCAAACTGCAGAGTCTGTGGCATCACCCTTCTTGCAGAAAAAGAACAGAAATCTCTCCTGCTCCTGTTATAAGCTAACAGTGATATATGTACATAACTTAGAACAATTCCTCCTGCCCTGAGGATCAGTTTTGCTGTTCCTGCCAAGCTTGAGCAGTAACTCATGTTCAGAGTAGACAAGCTCATTGATGCTCTGGAAAGTGTTTGCTTAACATGTGCTGAACAAATTTTAGAGTATGTATTATCTAAAGATGTTGATCTACCAACTTCTTTTACTTAAGTAATTTTAAGGATTTGCTGTAACAAATGGATCAAAGATGGGTTTTCAGTAAAGATACAAAAACCATTTCTGTTTATTTCCACGACTTTGGTTCATGTCCTCTGTTAAGACTATCAGCTCAATCTAGTCACTTCAGCCTTCCCATCTCGAGTCAGTGTTAGCTGTTTTGATGCTTTACTCTCATTTTTATTTTCAGTCCTTCCCTGATTCACCTTGACTTGATATACATATAATCTGTATTTATCCTACCTTTCTTTATCCTCAAAAAAAATATAAAATCACTTCATCCTTTCAGTCTTTTCTTAATGCTCTTTTACAGCACTACCTTAATATGACAATTACAAAACCATTCTTCTGAACTATTTGCCCTTGCTTTAATATGAGTTAAGGACATTTCTTTTTCAATGTTCAGTGTTTACACACTGCTTTTTTTTTTTCCTCTGAAAAAGCATTTAGCACACTCAATAGCACAAGATGCATCCTTACCTAATTACAGAATCAGTTCTGTTGTACCCTGGGATGGAAGAGGCCTTTTCTCCTGGAGATCCCAGAATCTGAAGTGTCGTATTGATGTCAACCTCAGCTGAATGTTTAATGGAATATTCCATTACTTCTGGAGGTATTAGCGGAGTCTCTCCCTGAGTATCATTAGCCAAGAGGTAGCCTTACATTAAAAAAGAAAGAGTGATCACAACTTTCTACCCTAGGTGAACTTACGGCTTTCTGATTAGAGAATCCATTGGCTTAACTGCAGACATAACACCAGAATCAAATGTCTGTACAAAGCCTCACTAACACTACTTAACTACACACAAGTTAATTTTATAATCCTTAAAGACACTGAGTAGAAAAAAACCTAAAGTGACAAGAAACCAAGACTGGAAAGAAATCATCAGTTTAAATGCCAATAAAAAAAGAGACAAGTTTGCTTCATGTAAAAGTGCTACAGTCAATTCAACTATTTAAGGAAGGGACATCCCAAAACTACATTTTGTTGTAATTTTTTTACTTCTATTATGTGATAAACAAGCCTTGATTTCACAGCTTCCCCATCAAGTCCATCTCATTTGGGACTTCTGTTTTGCCAACATTTCAAATCTGTCAGAGGCTTTGAGACATCAAGTACGTATGCTGTAATAATTTTTCTCACATAGCAGAGAATTTCATACAATACTCTGGTATCCAGATAATTAATACTAATTCCAGCTTTAGTTGTTTTCAATGTGTGATCTCATAACTATCCATGAGCTACTAATGCCATCCCACAGTGTTAGAAAAATATTATAAACAGATTCATGTCAACATCTGAGAGCAACTAAAGCATCAAATGTTCAAAAAACTCCATTAAATATTCTATAGATTACACATATTCTCTAACAAAGTGCAGGCACTACCTTAGTTGTTGTTATGTTTTGCAAACATAATTACAATGTTTCCATCTACAAATCAAAACTAAAACGCTTCTAAATTCAAGTTCATGAAACATATCAAAATGGCAGGACATGAACCATCAGCAGTGAGAAATTCTGGAACTTCACTCTTTGCCACCACTGAGTACTACCATTATCCTGATCTCATGCTGGTTCCCTTATAAAGTCATGTGCCCCCAGACAATACCAGTGATATCATGAACAGACTAGTTTCTTGAATAGGTTAACTGATAACACAGCTCAAAAAACCCCATAACAGAATTACTTGCAGGAATTTCCAAAAGTCATTACAATTTGTAATGGTAACATTCATGTAACTCAAGGCAGATAAACAAAGAATTTGCAAGTAGTATACGTAAGATGAAATCATCATTAGGGATAAAAAGTATAGTCAATTAAACATAGTTGATATACAGGGATTTTTTTTTTTTTCCCTGAGGTGTTCCAGCTTCAATAAGACTACCAGAATAAGTACTATTTAAAGCTGTTCACTAACCTGTGACTAAAATAAGCCAATGAATATCCTCATACAAGTCATCAAGCACTTTATTGTCAATTGAGCCTGATGCTGGTGAGGCAAGTAACTGCTGCTGATGTCTTTGCAACTGACCATGGAGCCTTGTCACTCGGTCTTCTAACAAACTGTGGAGAAATAACAATAAAATAACTTCACTGTTTTTAAATTGTTTGGCAAAAGCCAAGCTTTTCATATGTGACAGCTTCACTGATTTGCAATCATGACTTTTTTTTTGTTGTACTTACCTTGTAAGAAGAGGTATACAGTGTTCTGCAGCAATTCTCCCCAGCATGCCTACACTGGCCAACTGGTCACAGAACTGGTCTCTGTCATCTTCCTGCAGCTCACTTATTTCTTCTTCTTCCCGAGAGGCCACACCATTGGCAGTCTTTGGTTATTCCAACAAAGTCAGAAGCAACCAGTTAGAGTCACACTTGTTAAATTTATCACCACCACAATTTTTTGCATTATTTTGACTATTTCTTTCAAGGTGTTTTGTAAGGATGAACAAGAGACTTGTACTAAATCAGACACATAGGAGTTAAACAGAGTCAACATGGGTTCATTTATTTTCAAAATAGCATTTCACAAACTCATCAGCAGAATGCCACATTCAGTTAATTGTCTGTTTGCTACCATTTCCAACAGTGTTCTCAAGTCAAAAGATTCACTGTGGAAAAAGTGAAGGATAAGACTTATGAAAACTGGTACCTGTTATTAATAGGATAAACACAGGCTGGTCAATAGCCAAGCAGCTTCTTTACCCTTTGTACATCAGTTCTGTTGTGCATCCACTGCTAGAAGTGTGATCTAAGGTACTGAATGACTCTGACTCACAGAGATGGTCTGCAAATCCAGTGGACTAAAGACTGCTGAAGTACACTTGCATTTCAAATCACATGTATAGCAGACCAAGAACCATTTCAGATACTGGAACTTCCCTACTTTCTCCTGTTCATTAGGCAAAGATGTGGCTCTCAGTTGTCTGAGATGTTACCTAAATCACATAATAGGTAGTATTTTTCATGATGAAATGAAAATCATCTCTTTCATTAGAGATTTTCCATAACCTACTGTATGAGGGGAAACAGTACTTTAAACAGTACTATTTTAAAAAAAATCACTTTAAAAAGTAAATGTTATAACCTCAGGAAAACAGAAGATGAATAATCATCATCATCTCAGTTTTGCTTCTTGATGATGCAAAAGTTGCACTGTTTGATTACTCAAAGTTTATCTTAGTTGCATTATAAAACTATTTAAATAATAATCAGATCTTATTCCTTGAAAAGATGAACAATGATATGTAGAAACTAAGTATCAATATTAAAAGTGTTTTACAAAATCTCTTAAAATAATCATAAAATTTACACAACTTCAAGTAAAATACAAGAGACAGAGAAGCTATCAGACTGCTTTGTTTCCACAGAGGCCCCGGAAAACTGAATCCACACACAACTGCTTTTGCAAAGTGCTTTTAACCCATCTTTTCTTTATGTAACCTAGCAAATCATTCTCTTTTGGCAACTTCAAAGTTGCAGCTGTTTACTGAAGGGTGAGCCTCTGCTCTCAAAGCAGAGACTGAAAGTTCCTGTTACTGCTTTGATATTGAACAAGAAGCATTCTAAAATGCCAGCTGTGGCTTTTAAAAGGTTACCCATGGGATAAATGACTTATCTCACAGAATGACATGAATTAACCTGTGCATACAAGTTATGTCAAGACCGCCTGATATGAATTCAAAGTTCTCTTGTGAAATATTTCCCTCAGTTTTGGCACTGTTATTACCATCTGTTGCATATTGAGACAGCAGAATTAAGTTTTATATGGTGCTTTTCAGAATGAGGTATCTCGGTGATCTTTGCATACCATCAAATTAAAGAGAGATTTTTACATGCTTATTGAATTGATTCTGTACAATAATTAATTAATCCAACATCTACATCCAACTCTCTGTATGAGACTCTATTTTGGTAAGATCCAGACTCCTGGCAAACAGACTAATTTGCTTTCTTTCTCAGTGCCTCAAGAGGTACTTGACATACCTTTAGGTTTTCTCTAGAACAGTCACCTGTTCAACAATTCAATTGGGAATTAATTTTATCCAAAAGAATGACATGATATTTTAAGTTTCTTCTAGCATGAATACAGTTAGTCTACATTTTTTTCAGATATTTATGCACGAACATTGTACTTTGAAGACAATGTATGGGAGGTAACAACTGTAAAAAAGGCTTCCAGTTTCATTGAGGATCTTAACTAGGACTCTAATCCAGAGAAGGATGGTCAAAAGTTTAGTCATTGCATCTGTGGGAAGAACAGTAAGATACACATTGATTTGAGTTACAGGTTTAGCTTTTTCTACTTTTTAAGTGATTTCCAACTTTGTACTAAAACCAGTAAAGTTAAAGCAAAGATGCTTAATTCCTCTTCAGAATGAGAGAAGAAGACTGGGAAAATGACAACTGAGTAAAATTTTCAGCAATTTTTAAATTTCCAAAGTCATAAATGGTAATTCTGTACTAGCTGCCTTGAGCTACATAATATATGCACACCAGAAGAGGTGGGCTGGTTCCTATGTGCCATCACCAAAAACGACGAGATTGAGGGCTTACCAAATTCCTTGTGCCATCAGGAGCAGCTAGATGGCACTGAATGTAGGAATTAAAGACTTGAACAGCATGTTGGGTGAAGAAACCTTTATGGAAATGTTTGTCATCTTGTACCAAAGTAAGCCAAGATTCCAGCAACTTATCATATGCCTCCATATACACCATGTCATCTTTGTCAAGCTGTAAGAGATGAAAGAAACAAATCAAAAATTTTATTCCTAAACTAAAACAGAGGAATATACTTACAATTATTTAACAGATGTTCTTCTAATGTTGAAACAATTAAAAAAAAAAATCAGTCAGAAAACCCATACAGGGATAGCCAAGAAAACATCAGAATGAACTGAAGCAATGCATTGAGGTCAGAGCAGCTTTCATGCTTGCTAGGCTTTAAAACAACCTGTCAACGTGTTTAGCTATTTCTCTTCATCTGATGTTGCATATAGATTTATATGTATCCACTATTTCTGAAGTAAAGAGGGAGAAGAGACAATGACTCTCTCTTCCAGAGGAAATCACTGTAAGACTGCATGCGTTGAAGAAACCTTACTACAGGTAGCCAGTTTGGACAATTAATCACGACTTCTCATTCTATGAACAAATCAAAAAGTAAGTGGAATTGCACAGAATAACCCTGCACCTCCAATTCCTTAGTGCATTTCAGCTGACGCCTCATACTTGTAATTATGCCTATGTGCTTCAACATAGTACGTAAGTTGCAAAAGGAAACAACTTACCAGAAAAACCAAGCCCTGGGTTACAGGCAAACTAAAGAACCCAAATAGCAAAGGGGCTGTTTCTTTTCAGAGGTATTTTTAATGTAACTATCAGCTTTTGTGTTGATGCAAAAGTGAACTTCTGTAAATATACCCAACTTCAAGTAACTTAAGTGTGACTGTACAGATAAGAATGCTGCTAAGGTGTTAAACTTCCCCTTAAGAAGTCTTCTCGAGTTCTAACCAACAGGATGGCTCACAGAAGTTACTTTGAGATGGAAGAGCTTAGTACAATGGTTCATTGATGAAATAACGAGATATTAAGGCCTTAATCATGCTCCAGACAGAAGAATTCCTGACTTTCAGTGAAGTTAAACATGGTTGGATGAACAGGCAAGGAAAAGAAAACATTGGCTGGATGACTGATTAAGAGGGAAAACTGTTATCACTCTGGAAGCATTTCAAGATAGCTTCACAGCATCATTTTATAACTGCAAAGTTATATTTGCAGAAGCTAAAACATGGGACACACTGATGCAATTGTGAAAACAAAAGCTGCAGATGACGACAAGTAGAGAGGCAAAATTGTATTCAACACTAAGACAATCCACAAATTTAGGAAGGACACCATAACGTCTCTTTTTAAAACCTGGCTAAAGGATACATGAATTTATAGACAGTCATTCAGCCCCAAAATATTTTTACATGTGTGTAACATATTTACATCTGTAACTTAAATATAACTCTTATTAATTTATAAGAATCAAGAGCATAAAAAAGTCTTTTTATGAACAACAAAAAAACCCCTCAAGTCTATCCAATTCATTTATTTGAAAAGTTAATACAGAAGTTAATGCCACGAATAAAACTACTTTAACACTTGATGGTGTTATCATAAGGAATCTAGGACTAACAAGTGCCTCCATAAAGTATATGCCCAAATAGTAGAAAGAGTTGATCCATATTGAACAAATTTGGCCTCAAAGAAACCTTACTAAAAATTCCCAATCCTTATTTCAGATTAGCTACAGCTGGGCTACCAACGAACTCATACAGGTAAAGTAAGTGTCATGCTGTAGGCTGGGGAGCTGAATCATTCTGATGGATCCGACAGAAGCAATGGCAGAGTCCAGTTCAGAACCCAGATGTTCAGGAGAGGCAAGATAAACCCAGTAAAGTCATAGCAAAGATGCTTAATTCCTCTAACAGAAGAAACAAGAAGACATTTGTCCTTCTTCCTTCACAGTTTGCTGACTGCACACTTGAAAAA